GCTGATCGTGAATGAAGATGAAGCAGCTCCAGCCCCTGCTGAGGAGTTCCCCGATCCCTCGCCCGCCAGCTCTCCGAGTGACCAGGCAGAGAGTGAAGCTGCTGAAGAAGGCGTCCAGGCAGAAAACAACGATAGCTCTGAGATAAAAACCACGGAAAAGGAAGACGAGCCAATGGAGGTAGAAACTTCTGCAGAGAAGAGTTTCCAGAATCAGGGCACCTCAAACACAGCTACTCCTCTACCTCAGATCCCTGAACCACCTTCCATGACAAGCTATAACATGCCAAACACCAACGTCACGCTAGAGACTCTGCTGAGCACTAAAGTGGCGGTCGCACAGTTCTCGCAAAGCGCGCGGACCACCGCTTCCGCCAGCATCAGCAGCGGGGTGACGGCCGTGGCCATCCCCATGATCCTGGAGCAACTCATGGCCCTGCAGCAGCAGCAAATCCACCAGCTCCAGCTAATCGAGCAGATCCGCAGCCAAGTGGCCATGATGAACCGCCAGCCACTACGGCCATCTCTCAACCCCATCGTGGCCGCCCAGGGTGGTCCTGGGCAGGCGTCCAACCAGCTGCAGGGGTTTGCCGCCAGCGCTGCCGTCCAGCTCACTGCAGTCATTCCTCCTGCCATTGTGGGGCAGGTGGCCAGTGGTCAGCCCACTGCCTTCGACAGTTCTCAGCACATCTCAAGACCTACATCTGGAGCAAGTACACCCAGTATATCCGGCGGTGGCTCTTCTGCCCCACCGGAATCAAGCGTACCTTCCTCCTCGAATGCAATCACGTCCATAACTCCCGTTTCCATGTCAAACGCTCCTCACAGTGCTTCACAGCCCCAGAACACTTCGACTCCGCCTTCAGTAGGACATGGAAGCCTCACCTCGGTGTCCAGCCTGCCAAACCCACTTCTACCTCAGACTTCATCAAATAGCGTGATCTTCCCCAATCCGCTAGTTAGCATCGCCGCAACAGCTAACGCACTAGATCCTCTCTCTGCCCTTATGAAGCATCGCAAAGGAAAGCCACCAAATGTGTCAGTGTTTGAACCCAAGTCGAGTTCTGAGGATCCCTTTTTTAAACATAAATGCCGATTTTGTGCCAAGGTCTTCGGAAGTGACAGTGCTTTACAAATTCACCTCCGCTCGCATACAGGCGAAAGACCTTTTAAATGTAACATATGCGGAAACCGCTTTTCCACAAAGGGCAACCTGAAAGTTCATTTTCAGAGGCATAAAGAGAAATACCCTCATATTCAGATGAACCCTTATCCTGTTCCAGAATACCTCGATAACGTGCCCACCTGCTCTGGAATCCCGTACGGGATGTCACTGCCCCCTGAAAAGCCGGTCACAACGTGGTTAGACAGCAAACCTGTTCTACCAACCGTCCCGACTTCCATTGGGCTCCAGCTGCCTCCCACCATACCTGGTGTGAACAGTTATGGAGATTCTCCAAGTATCACTCCTATGAGCAGGTCACCCCAGAGGCCTTCTCCTGCCTCCAGTGAATGCACTTCTCTATCCCCGAGCCTCAACACTTCTGAGTCGGGCGTTCCAGTGTCTGCCGAATCCCCGCAGCCCGTTCAGAGTGGCTCATCCCTGAACAAGGCAGAACCTGTCACTCTGCCTCCCACGAGCACACGGCTTGGGGACCTCTCTGCAGGTGGGCAAGTTTCCACAGCTTCCACATCTTCAATTCCTACTGCTGTCACAGACAGCAGCATTGCAACAAGCCTCCCAAAACCTGTGCTTCCAGCAGTGTCTGACCAGTTTAAGGCAAAGTTTCCATTCGGTGGTCTGCTAGACTCTATGCAAACGTCAGAAACCTCAAAACTGCAACAGCTAGTGGAGAACATTGATAAGAAGATGACAGATCCAAATCAATGCGTCATTTGTCACCGTGTGCTTAGTTGTCAGAGCGCTCTCAAGATGCATTACAGAACGCATACAGGAGAAAGACCATTTAAATGCAAAATTTGTGGACGTGCCTTCACTACGAAAGGCAATCTGAAAACACATTTTGGAGTTCATCGAGCGAAGCCACCACTTAGAGTACAGCACTCGTGTCCCATTTGTCAGAAGAAATTTACAAATGCGGTTGTTCTTCAGCAGCACATTCGTATGCATATGGGCGGGCAAATTCCAAACACGCCACTACCTGAGGGCTTCCAGGATGCCATGGACTCAGAGCTTTCCTACGACGAGAAGAACGTTGACACGCTGAGCAACTTTGACGATGACATTGATGAAAATTCTATGGAAGAGGACCCGGAGCTAAAGGACACGGCAAGTGACTCATCCAAACCCCTTATCTCTTACTCCGGGTCATGTCCTTCTTCGCCACCTTCTGTGATCTCCAGTATTGCTGCTCTGGAGAATCAAATGAAAATGATTGATTCTGTCATGAACTGTCAGCAGCTGACCAGTTTAAAATCCATAGAAAATGGATCAGGGGAAAGTGACCATTTGAGCAATGACTCCTCATCAGCTGTTGGTGATCTCGAAAGCCAGAGTGCAGGCAGCCCTGCGATGTCAGAGTCTTCTTCCTCCATGCAAGCTTTGTCTCCTGTAAATAGCAATAGCGAAAGTTTCCGATCCAAGTCGCCAGGTCTCAGTAACCAGGAAGAGCCCCAAGAAATACAATTAAAGACAGAAAAACCAGACAGTCCACCACCTGCAGCTGAAAATGGAGGCGCATTAGATCTGACATCCACCAACCCAGGAAGACCGGTCATCAAAGAGGAGGCTCCTTTTAGCCTGCTGTTCCTGAACAGAGAACGTGGTAAGTTTAAAAGTACTGTTTGTAATATCTGTGGCAAGCCTTTTGCTTGTAAGAGTGCATTGGAAATTCACTACCGCAGCCATACTAAAGAACGGCCATTTGTTTGTACAGTCTGCAGTCGTGGGTGTTCCACTATGGGTAATTTAAAACAGCACTTACTGACGCACAAATTAAAAGAGCTGCCTTCTCAGTTATTTGAACCCAACTTTACTCTAGGTCCCAGCCAAAGTACTCCTAGCCTGGTCACCAGTACAGCGCCTACCATGATCAAAATGGAAGTGAATGGTCACAGCAAGCCGATCTCTTTGGGTGAGGTTCCCTCGCTTCCAGCTGGAATCCAGGTTCCTGCTGCACCACAGACAGTGATGAGTCCGGGGATCACCCCTATGCTGGCACCCCCCCCTCGCCGGACTCCCAAGCAGCACAACTGTCAGTCGTGCGGGAAGACCTTCTCCTCAGCAAGTGCACTGCAGATACACGAGCGCACCCATACCGGTGAAAAACCGTTTGGTTGCACGATCTGTGGTAGAGCTTTTACCACAAAGGGGAATCTGAAGGTAAGAGGCCAAATAAAACTGTAAAGGCTCGGGTTAAGCGGGGTTAAGGCACTGTGCTTGAACTCAGCAGGTTTTAGCGCTGTTTGTCCCAAAAACAAGAGAGAAGGGAGCTTTGAGGAAATGCTTCCACTGTGTTGAAGATAGGGACTGGAAAACGGCCGTGCAGTGACGCTAACTTTGACACTGGATCTGGGTGTATGTGAACACACGCTGTAGTTCTCCTGACAGATGTGGTGGCACAGGCAGCCAGCTGATGGACGTGTTCTGGCAGTTCTCGCAGACCATCCATTCAAAGTAACCTCACTATAAACCAGAAATGCAGAGGGTGCTCAGCTCCCTGGGTGCCTCTCAAATTCCCATTTTCTGTTCTGCTTTGTGGCCATTGCAGGTTAGAAAGCTGTTTCCCACTGATGTACAGCGGGTTACTACAGGACTGACACCTCTTATTCCCACAGTCTGGTTAACCATTGGGACACAGCCTGGGGAATACATTTCTAAATGTCCTTTTTTAAAATATTAAATGTAGCAAAGCAATCAATACTTCTGACATGAGAATAGAATAGAATAGAATAGGATCATAAAGGTCAGAAAAGACCTCAAGGATCATCAAGTCCAACCGTCAACCCAACACCACCCAACCCACTAACCCATGTCCCCAAGCACCACATCTACACGTTTCTTGACCCCCTCCAGGGATGGTGACTCCACCACTGCCCTGGGCAGCCTGTTCCAATGCCACATCACTCTTGCAGTGAAGAAATTTTTTTCTAATATCCAGCCTAAACCTTCCCTGGCGCAACGTGAGGCTGTTTCCTATATTGCAAAAAATAGACGAGATGTAGAAAGGGGAAGGGCAGAAAAACCCACCCATCCCCTAGTACAAGTAATGCCCTTGGTAATCTTCAGCATGTGAGGACTTCCAGCGTGCATGTGAAATTGTCTAACCTAAGAGGATGTGTACTCTTTATTCTTGCGGCGCTGTGTTTTGTTTTCACTGAGAAGAAACAAGTGCACATTGAAAAATTACTACGGAGCTGGGTTTTCTTGGTATAGGTTGACTGGGCCTTAGAACTGTGTCTTAACTGGAATTGATTTGTTTTCAATGCGAGTGAAAAGACATTTTAAAAAAAAAAGAAAAGTGGTACTGTAAGTAAACAGCATTTCAGGCCAGCTGCCTTGCCAGAATGTGCTAACTTGGGGGTGCTCCTTGTCCCTGTTTACTCCACAGGTTCACATGGGAACCCACATGTGGAATAACGCCCCGGCACGCCGCGGCCGCCGCCTCTCCGTGGAAAACCCCATGGCTCTGCTGGGTGGCGACGCGCTCAAGTTCTCCGAGATGTTCCAGAAGGATTTGGCAGCTCGGGCCATGAACGTTGACCCCAATTTTTGGAACCAATATGCTGCAGCTATCACTAACGGACTTGCTATGAAGAACAATGAGATTTCTGTCATACAGAACGGAGGCATTCCCCAGCTCCCAGTAAGTCTAGGCGGAGGCGCCATCCCGCCTCTCAGTAACCTTACCGGTGGCATGGACAAAGCTCGCACGGGCAGCAGCCCTCCCATTGTTGGTCTGGACAAAGCAAGTTCTGAAACGGGAGCCAGTCGGCCATTCACCAGGTTTATTGAGGATAATAAAGAGATTGGCATAAATTAAAAGCATTCGTTCCCAATAACTGTTGGACAGCAACTCGACACACCACTTGTCCTGTTCCGTGTACAGCTTTTGAAGCTAAGCGTTAGTTTCCTGACCCAAACACATAGGTTCCCTTTCAAGTTTTACCCATAGCAGAAATCCATAACTTTGTGGCTGCTGAAAAGTTGTCTTGCAAGATCTGCATGGTACTTCTTTCGACAGTGAGTTTGACTGTTGCCGAGAACACTGAGACCTTTTAATTTAACAGAAAACAAACAAATCATGGGATAACTTCATTAGGAACAGAAAGAGGCTAGTCTACGTCCACTTTGCTTCTTACAAAACTCACTATCATCTGAGAAAGGGGGGCTTCATTACGGCATTCTGTCACACTTATTTGCTGGTTTTGTTCCAATTAGTTAGCAACTTGGACTATGTTTTTAGGAATCTTAATCTTAAATAAGTGGTTTAGTACCCTGACGCTGTGTATTATTACAGTATCCTTGTCTGTAGTATTTATAATGTTAAGATTATGCGGGTAACAGACAATATACTAGCCCCAAACTTAAATGAAGCTTTTGTACTGCAAAATACATAAGGCTATGTGATTTTTGTTTTTTTTTTTGTTTGTTTGTTTGTTTTTTTTAAAGCAAGTTTTGTTCTACTAAGTGGTTTATTTCAATGCAGGCAAAATTGTGAAGTTTTATTGGGAAAGATAGCATGCTTTTCATGTGCAAGTACTTGTCAGTAACAAACCTTTTTTTTTATTTAAATATTTGTAGCTGCTATGTGGACAGTTGTTCTATTAAATGAAAAAAAAAATGTAGTGTGGACTTTAGCTCAATGATTGGAAAACAAGTTACAGACAAACCTTAGCACCGTAAATTATTCACAACATTATAAACAGTTGTGAGTAAATACTCCATGTTATCAAAGCTGTACAATAAAAAGGTAATGTTTGTATAATGTGGTTGCAAACTCTTAATTTATACTATTGCACTTTTAGTATTTTGTATTAGGGAGGTTTGTCTATAATTTGAAACAGAACAAAGATGTAAACTATTTTATAAATAGTACTTTGAATTAAGGAATAAGGAGGAGAACCCTGTTGCAGTTTCTTGTTTTGTTTTAAGATCAAACAATGAGAGATCTCTCTTAATTAAGCAGAAAAGCCACAGAGAACTGTCAGATCCATAGGAAATACGGGGCCTGCCATTTCTGAAATGGAAATTATTCATTTAACTTTTCTACAAAACCCACTTAAAAGCGTGACCACTCCTGACAGAATCCTGATGCATTTATCTTAGGAGCGTGCTGTTAATACTTGCCTAGGATAGAGGAAGGAGAACATTGTGTAGGTTTAATTTTACTGTACTCTGTTCTGTCTCTCTCACACATACCCACGAGAAAGATGTCGACTGCCTAATAACACGGGAAGCAGTGAGCAGTAGTAACGTACAAATATTCTGTATTTACTTCCAGCTCTTGCTGATTATCTTCTCAGCTTGATCCCAAGCACAATGTACTCTGATGAATTGAATATGATTTTCTGTCGATGGCATTGTTTAAATTACAGAGAGTAAATAAAGAGAATGGTTCCACTCGTAAGCTAGGCTGGGGATGCTGAGGAGACTGGGGCTTCATCAAAACTTGAACAGTAGATGTTTTGTGTACTACCTCATTTTTGTGCATTACAAGCGTGGTGGACTTGACACTCTGAACTTCCGTCCAGCAGAATTGCTTGAGGGACATTATGGGTAGCTGGGTAACAGCACAAGGAGTTTTATGCCCCCGAAGAACGAAGTGAGGTCTTCTCAGTTGAGACTGAAAAATAGGACAATCTTTCTTACACAACAAAACCCATTACTGTAAGAGGATGGACTATTTCTGCCATCATGTAATGGAGTGAAAAGAGGTTCAAAGACTTATTAGCTGTTTGTTTCTATTGGAAATGAACGATGAACTCTACAGCTCCATTTTCTACAGTGCTGAGATAGAGATATATAGATACATATATCTATATATAAATAAAACTATATATCTATAACACCTCTACAGTAGAACATCTTTTTTTGCCACTGTGTATGGGTGGTTAGGGGTGTTTCCAAGCATTGAAAAAAAACAAAACAAACAAACAAACGGAGGTGGCTTAATGTTGCTGTATTTCAGCCATTGAATGTTTTCATTTTTCTGTGTCATTTTTGGTGTGACTTTTTTTTTTTTGTTAGTATTTGGTACCATGTAGTGTTATCTCTATTCTCTAAAGGATGTGTATAACTTAAAAAAAAAAAAAAAAAAGAGAAAAAAAAAAAGAAAAAATGAAAAAGGGAAAAATGAAAAAATATGTAAAGTGTTGTAAATAAGATGGTTGATGATGGTACAGTAAGACTGACCCCATTTTGTATTCAGGGTTAGGTCATTCCTCTCTGCATGGTGAAGAGAGACACTATTTTTATACTGCGATACCATGTAGGGCTAGGAGCCTCCCTGAACCAGCTGGGAATTGTTACCTAGATCCAATATTTTTTATTATTAAATCTTGTTGGCTTGACACATCTACTGATTGAAATGGATGTCTTAGTCTAGGTTACTATTTTTGTCATATGGAATTGAATAAAATGCAGGATGTAATATTTCTGAATTGCGTTCCTTGATTATTCTAATAACAGAGCAAGATACGAGACTAAGGTCACTTCTGGTAGATTGGTGTCAATGACTTCTAATCATCACATCTGAAAATCAGAATAAGGTCGACACCTTATACTCAAATGCTATTCTAATATATATTAACACTGCAAAGAGGTAAAATTATTAAAGTCTCTTTTCCAATGACAATAAATTGTAAGAGCATGTCTTGCAAGACAGTAGAACGAACAAACAAACAAACATTTTGGAGGGGGGATAACAGCCTTTGGAAGGACTACTGTTGCAAATTGACTGCTTTCTGAAGACTTATCATGTATCGTCTACCAAAAAAGCCTCATTTTCATGTTGTTTAAACATCTGCCTAATATTCACAGTACACTGCATGGTAAAAACATTTGTGAACAAATTTATCAGGAACAGATCAAATTCTAAAATACAAAAAAAAAAAAAAGAAAAAAAAGAAAAAATTGACAACTCGCATCCGTTCATTCCAAATGACATAACCTGTAGTTTAAACCCATGGTTTTGTTTCTTCTTTTTTTTCCAAGACCCTAATTTATCAAAGCATGTCTAACTTTAACCAAATTATTTTTTCACATTGATTCAAATGGAAGTATTTTCATTCTTAAGGTTAGGCATGTGATTAAGTATCTCCTGCAAAAAAAGCTGTATGTTTGAGTAACCTTCAAGCTGTTATAATCTGGTGATGAATGCCTGCTGCATTTAAAACAGAGAAAAGATAAATAAAAGAGAAAAAAATCTGTATTAATCGTCTTTCAGTGGCCTTGTTATGAAGATACTCTTTTGTAAGACCTACCCAAAGAAGGTCCGAGTTTCCTCTGGTGACTCAACAACAACAATAGGTCTGTGCTTGTGTTCCTGCACGTGCATCCCCGAGCCTTGCCGAGAGAAAACATGATACGCAAAAGAGAAAGAAAGCAAAGGAGTGCTGGTAGTTATGGTTCTGTTCAAAACACGAGAGGAAAGTTACCTGCCTTCCCCTCCTCCTCCCAAAAAAAAAGCATGAAAGCAGAATGGTATCTATTTTTAAATATGTATGGGTTATTTTTTTTTATTATAGGAAGACATTAATTAATAAAATGTGCTACACAGATAAAAATGCTCAAAGTATGCTGAATTACAGGTGTTTAAATATAGAGCCATGTAGGAACTCTATATAATCAGAAAAAACTACCAGCTAGGATTTTTTGAGGGGAGGGTTATTTTACAACATGAAAATTCCAGCAAGGCTTTCAAACTCTTCACTTATATTTTTTTTACATGAGTTATTAGAAAGAGGGCATTTATGACAAATGATTGACTTCTTTCTTGCCTTTTTTTTTTCCTTTTGTATATGTTAGCCCTCAGTATATTATGTGTTCTTTCACCTATTTTGGCCTTTCTATCTTGGCAAATACTTTGTTTTTCTAAAGCTGTATTTGTGCCGTGTTTGTGTTGCCTTTATCTTACTTCTCTGTAGTTTGGCAAGATACTGCAGTTTTGTTTTGGGTTTTTTTTTTTTTTTTTTCTTTTTTCTCTAATTCTGCAGAAGTCAAAACAGCTGCCTGGTTTTTACACCTATGTGTAACACTAGCATAACGACTGATGAAGTCATCAGTGAGGTGATCAGGTATGTGCGTAGGTCCCAGGATTTGCTAACAAACATGCCTCTCCCCCAGATGAAGGGATGAAGTTTGTTAGCGTTGACGGTATACGGCAGCCCCAGATGGTCCCGATCCTGCCTTCACTGTGCCTGCTTTTACACCACTGGAAACTCCATGGGCTGCAGTGGAGATGCTCCAGGTTTATACTGGTGCAAGAGAGACCGCTTCCCAGTTCAGATGTCTTGCTTTACAGGTCATCAGAACAATGGCTAGCTATATAGGGTATTAAAAGCACATCTAGGCAAAAGCATTCTGGACTTTATTTTTAAAAAGTAGGAAAAGATAAGACATATATTTTAATACATACCACAGGATTATCCCAGTCTTAAAGGAGATCCTGAAAGCTGAATCTAAAAAAAAGATGACTATGCCCCTTCATATAGAATTTGATGTCGTCACATGAATAATCAGTCCTTTTTCACTTAAATGAGTAAAAGAACCTGTAACTTCTATGTATAGAAGAATGTGAGAATCTTCCTATGGCACTCGCAGGGAAATGCCTTCCCTTTGCAGACAGTAAAGGTATCAGCAGATTTAGGAAAAGAAAAATATGTGTTTGTGCGTGTCGCAGCACCAGCATATAGCATTTTATTTTTTTTCAGAAGGGAGATTGTCTCAGTCGATTGACAAAGTGACAAAAGAGAAAGCCAAGAGCTTTGGGCTGTGCCAACTGACATATTTTAGGGATGTGGGCAAGTCGCTAATTAGACT